ATCAATATAAATATTATTGTAACGTGATTTCTTCTAAGAATTATACATGAACATATTTTTATAAGAAATATATCATGAAAAAAAATATTTCATAGGCATAATATGATATCAAAAAATTCAATAAGTATGATAGATACTAGTCGAAAGATAATAAAGAAGGTTTCACATCATCAATACCTAACATATATTCTAGCTAATCAGAAAAATTAAAGAATTTCTATTTTTTTAATGATCTTAAATCAATTCTCTAACTTGTGAACCTCTAGCGTCATCATGCTTTTCGGTAGTTGTCATCTTCACAAAATATACTAACAGTTCTATTGTATAATGGTTCTTCTTATCCAAGTCCATCTAATTTTTTTATTTGCATTCTTTAAAGCTAGGTACACTATTTTTTTAAGCAATAACTCCAAGCAGTATTCATCTTCTCATCAATTTCTTCCTCAAAAATTTTCTTTCAACCAAAATAGAAGATTGGGATGAAGAATTATTAGGAGCTCCATCATTTTTGTCACCTACTAGATATAGGTATTACTTGGACTCCAATCATGAACTTTTGTTGCAATACAACCTTCAGACAAAAGTTGTACACAAATTTGTAAAGGGTATTGGTGAAGTCTTTGGCCTAAACAAATTAAATTTTCATAAGAGACCTCAGATATGTACATATATAGTTCTTGTTTTTAATCATGACTACTATTTTTTTACTCAAAAATCTTGAGTTCTTGATAAACATCAATACACCCAAAAATATTATTTACAACAAAAGTTCTTGACAAAAATCAATACAACCTAAAAAAATTGTTAATATAAGAAAATACTTGTAAAGGTTATGAAAACTTACTAGTTCAAGAGGAAAAAAATGGTGTTTGGTTGAGAAAACAGAGGAAGAAAGTTTGTAGGGAGACAGAGCAAGTCGCACAATGAGAGAGAGGACGTGATTTTTTTCTAGTGAATTAAATAAGTTTGAATGTTGTTAAAACTCTCCTACAGAGCTGATTTGTTCAGTTCTTTTCAAATCCATTTAGAGGGTTTTTTTTAAAAATAAATAAAATGGATTTAATGGGCTGAATCGAATGATTAAGATTTAGACCTAAAAATCAAACACACTTAATAGGCTGAATCTGAGTGATTGAGATTCAGACCTCCATTAAGTGCAAAGAAATGGGGCCTAAGACTCTATCACATATCTGATTCATTCAAACCCATTAAGAGATTTTTAAGTAAAAAAAACAAATGCATTTTATGGGCTAATGTCCGAACCATTCAGATTCAGACCTCCATTAAGTGCAAACAAATGAGGTCTTAGGCCTCATGATTTCTTTGCATTTAATGAAGATCTTAATCTTAATTATTCAGATATGAATCATTCAGTTTTTTTTTCAAGCTCTGAATCTTATTCATTCAGATCAAATTCATTAAGTGTGTTTTTTATTTTTTATTTTGCAATCACTTAATGAGTCTGAATGTTTAAGATCTACAAGAGTCTTAATATCATCAAAATGTCTATTTAAAACATTCTTCAAAAATGATCTCCATCTACTTTTAGCCACCACCGTTTCAACCACAAATATCCCTCCGGCCACCGTCAATCACCACCACCTACGATTCACAGCTATCATCCTCAGTCCAACCACCACTACCTTCAATCATCGAAATCAATTCACATCACCATTAGCCATTAGTTACAATCAGCACCACCAATCCTTATTACATCCACTAATCACTATTGATAATTACCTCCATTAGTCAATATTATATATCATTTTCACGACCCAATCTCTCAGGTCATGATGACACCTACTATAACTCACCAGTAGATAAGTCAACCCATAACCTGAAATGTCAAGTAATGATGTAACACCCCAGAAGTTAATAAGTTGAATTGGAAAGGAAAATGTTGTAGAAAGTTGTTGGTGCAACTGGTTCACGAGGGCAAAGTACGGACCGTACTGGTTCCACGATCTGTAAATGTCAGTCATAGATGATGTCCTAAAAGTTGGAGAAAATTTTAAGTCTCAGATGACTTTTTACAAGTCAATAGGATGGCTCGTGGATGGGTGTACGGACCGTAATTGGGTTTTGTGGTGATGAACTTCAAAAAGTGAAGATGTCAATGGATTGGTTATACAGATGAGTTGTATGGACCGTAGAGGGGAAGACAGCCCTTGGTTGGGTCTCATGGACTCGAGTTTCAGAACCCAATGATTGTAGTACGTTGGGTTTACGAATGGCAGTGTACGAGCCGTACTATGGACCACGACTCATGGTTGGCCGATCGTGGTTCTTCACCAGAGAAATGGGTTTTCAGGAGTTGGATTTACGGACGACTAGTACGGTCTATAGAAAGGAATACGGACCATAGAGTGTGTCTATAGAAGAGGATTCAACAGTTGTAGTGGGGTTAATTGGGTATTTTCCTATCCTTTTAATTGGTAAACTAAGTCGTTTCTAGCCTATTCCTCATACCTATAACCTTTTTACTCTCAACCCCCCCCCCCCCCTCTTTCACTCTCAAACTCCCAAAGCTCTCAAGTCTTCTTCTCCAAGATTCCCTCGAGAAGATTCTAGGGTTCTTTAAGCTCCAAGTATCCTTTACAGATTTCAAGCTAGGATTTCTCAAGGTATGTGGAAAGTTCATCAATGGATACTTTTCATCCATTGCATCTCAAAAGATACCTAAATTTCTACTTATGATTTCTATCCAAATTTCTAGGGGTTTTCATGATTCTTCCATGAGTTCAATTGAAGTACGATTTTCTCTCCATAAATGAACTTATTATGCATCATTTGATCATATTTAAATGTTTTCAATTATTTTTACATGAACCTATGCTAAACAAGTGACCTTGATATGAAATCAAGCTTTGAAGATGTATGCATGCATTATGAATTGAAGTACTTATGAATCAAGGATGCTTTTAGATAAAGTATCAAGCATGTTTTATGAAACATAATGCTTCCGATTGAAGTCATTCTTATTATAAAAATACTATCATGATTTAGATGTTTTAGATAAGTGTCTCTTATGAATTGATTATGTTATGAAATCATCATATTTTAAAGGAGTTATTCTTAAGATTATAAGTCTTCATGATTGATTTGGTATTACTAGATTCTTATCATTTCAAAGACAATGAATAAGAATATGATATGATTATGTATGTTTTCCTTTAGAAGTTACTTAGCATCGAGTGGACCTTGGGATGAAGGTTCACCCATTAGTAGAGGTATGAGACCTTTAGTAGAAATCTTCTTGTCCCGACGTGCCACTGTAGGTTGAGATGAGTCACCCATTATTAGAGGCTTGACTCCCTAGTATGTCACTCATTAGTAGAGACTTGACTTTAGCTAGTAGATCCACATAAACTTAAGATTATAGTCCTTACCTGGCAAGTAAGGCACTCTCTTTTCAGTGTGGGAGTAGTACACCGAGATTCATGTTATAGCTCATATGGTTTATGTCGATTAACGACATCTCCCACAAAAGAATATGACTATGATTATGACTTATACTTATGATATGATTTTCAAAATATTGTACTATGTTTCATGAACTCAGCTTATCAAATCATGTCATCATTGTCATATTTACTTGGTCATGCATTATCATGTTCTCAGATTTATCATGTTATTATGTTTATATTCATGCATCTTTTGTTATACTCAGTACATTTAGAGTGTTGACCGCATACAACTCTTGTGCCTATATTGTTTTATAATATAGGATCTGACACTCCATATCCAGCTTGCGGTTGGCACAAATCCTTGTCACCTTTATCCAAATTTGGTGAATCCTCATGCTTCGAGGACATAACCACACATTATGAGTTCTTTTATTTTCTTTCAGACTCTTTCAGTTTTCATATTGTTCAAGTGAGCTAAGGTTTTTCCTAGTCACTTATTATGTAGTAGAGGCTTGTTGTCAGACATAGTATTGTATTTTTTTGCATTTATGATTTTGTACTCTTTTCGGCATTATATGAGATTTCTACTTGAGACTATGATTCCGCTTAGTTCTCTCTTTTCAGGCTGTTGAAGGCCGCTATGGCGGCCAAATCAACTGCTTGGCTAAGGCCTCTACACCGGACAGATGTCCACTACGGTGGTCCTTGGCTTGGTTGAGACCTCTACGATGAATAGATGGTCATTATGGCGGTCCTCGACTTGGTTGAGGTCGCCGCGATGGAAGCCTTCCGCTATAGCAGTACCATAGGGTCCCATGAGGATAGAGGTAGCTAGGGGTATTTCCCCAAACTCCCCCATTTCACAACACACCAGGAATTTAGGACAACACAAAAATGTCTCATCGGAGTTCTACTAATCTATTTTTCTTTCTGATAGTTTTCATGGATCACTAATCCTCTCAACTAACATAATCATGAATCACAATACTCAAACACTATACCACTAATCACAAACGGTTCCTAAACCCACCACACCTGATTTTCGCCAAAACTGGTGTAGCCTAAATCTTTCACCAATTCTCATCCCAGGCAAACTCTAATCAAATACATCAATTTTGAATTACTACAACAACGGAGCAAGTCGTTACATACTCTTTTCAGTGCATATTAATCAAGTTTGTGAGGCAATGCACACTCATTAAGAAAAAAAAATAGGACATAAATTGAACACCACTTTCCACTTTCCACTTTTTCCCTTTTAATTATTCTCTAACTATTCTTGAAAATAAAAATAATTCAAAGTAAAATTATAAATATGAACAATTAGCTTTTTTGAACTTATCACCTTGAAAATGTAATGAGGAGAAAAAATGAAATAAATTTCGAATAACTTTCTTCAATATTGAACAATTAACTTATTTTGAACATTAAAATAGACTAAAAAAATTCAAATATTATGGACTACAGGGAGTACTAGAAGAAGTGGCTTCGGTAAACTGAACCGTATGCCATCTCTGAAACTGAATAGTAAAGCTTCAATCACTAACAAGTGTGTTGCAGGTTTGATTCTCATCACTTGAGAATAGCAAAATTACATAGAATAAATCAAGAACAAGTTCAAAATTTAATTACAATAATTATAACAAAAGGATCAAGACAATTGATAGAAAATATAAAACAAATATAAAAGCAATCGATTGAAAATAAGGAATCAAACAGCGGATTGAAAGAAGTGATGAATCATTAAGATGCAGAGCAACAAGCTTTCTTGGTGTTTATCTCCTCTGCTCCAACAACAAGAGTGTTCCCTTCTTTAATGTTAGCAGGTGCAGGGTTTTCTGAAGAGAGTGACTTCTTACTGATTATCCGATAAATTTCCGAAAGATTCATCTGGAAAGCCTTCTCAACATTTGTTGCCTCCAAGGCTGATGTTTCTATGAAAGAAAGCCCTTCTCTTTCAGCATAGCTTTGAGCATCCTCTGTAGCAACTGCTCGCAGATGCTTCAGATCTGTCTTGTTTCCAATCAGCATAATCACAATATTGGAGTCTGCATGATCCCTCAGTTCCTTTAACCACCGGCTGACATTTTCAAAGGAAATGGGTTTTGTCACATCATATACCAGAAGAGCACCAAGAGCACCCCTATAGTATGCGCTTGTAATGGCTCTATATCTCTCCTGTCCAGCCGTGTCCCAGATCTGAGACTTAATGATCCTTCCCTCTACCTATGCATATATGATACATCATCAGTTTAGCAGAAACTATGTTTTTTTCAAAATGTACAATTAAGTAAAAACTAGGACGAGTAGAAACACGTAAAGAATCACAATTTACATTTGTTCATTCAACAAACAAGAAGAAATTTGATGTAAACTTGCTTACAGCATGTAAGAAGCTCTGTTGAATATTAAAATCTATGCAAAATATCATGGCATCCACACAAAGGTAGAGTTCATTTGAATGATTTTGTGGCAATCATGTTTGACCTCCTAGAACGTGGAACAATACACGTAACCTCGCTCTTAGCTCAGGTAATCCTGGCTATTTTTCTAGTTTTCCAGTGAAGATGACTGTTCTATGCATCACGCATTCAATTTGCAAATTGAATATCATTAGAAATACCACTTTATATTTTTGCTACTTGAGTGCGAACTCCACCAAAAAGTAAGAACATAGGATAAAATTACAGTTACATAGAAAGTATTAACCTAAGTGCTTGGACTCGGGTGCGGGTGTCCGATACGGGTGCGGATCTAATTATGATCTAATTTTTAAGATTCGGGATATGGATCCATTTATGGATATGGGTGCGGGGATTCGCCTAAAAATAATTAGACTATCTAAAAATAGAGCTATAAAACCTAAATTATGAGATATTATGTGGAGAACTTGAGGAGAATTTTGGAAGGAGATCAAAGGAAAATGAGTGACATAGAAATTTCTATAAAAAGGTATTCTATTTCCTTCAATTTCACCTTAGCTTTTGTATTGATTACAAAAATCATTAAAATTGTCCAGACTTTCCCATCGATTTGGTCAAAGTACCCAAAATTGGTTGACCAAATCGGCACGGGTGCAGCACCAAAAGTGAAGAGTCTGAGCAACTTAGGTATTAACATAAGGTTTTTTACTAAAATTTGCATGCTAATAATAGAAGGTAGGTGTTTGGTCAAGAGAGGAACTTTTTTTCATTGAGCAATTTTCTTTTAATAAGAGCTCTCTGCATCATGAATCTAGGATTCTTAAGAGCAAAAGTTGAAAACATATTTGGAACCAAACTCAAGCAAGTGATAATTTATCAAGGGCAAAGGGTCAAATTCAAATTTACCCCTAAACTATACAAAATGCCACAATTTCTCCCTCCATTAATAGTTGGGGCCACCTATGCTATCAATCCAATTGGCTCAATAATGTCGTTATACACTAATGGACCTAGCTTGGGGTCACCTATGTCTCTAATTAGCCAGTTTTGTCCAATTAAATGACATGGCTCTAGTTAACCCCCCCCCCCCCCCCCCCATCTTTTTCACCTACATTACAACCTTACACCACCTTCCTCTCCCACCAAAAAAATAAATAGCATATTGCCCCAGAAAAACCATTAATGCCACTATGCTTCTCACTGTCACTATATAACCTGGCATTCAACTCAAAATAAACCCTTCTGCAGCAAACCTTTCTCCATTCTTCCTTTTCATCCTTTCACCACCTAGACCCACCTACAAACAACCATTAAAGCCACATGTGAATCCCAACAATCAACCAGCGTTCAGTATAACCATCACCTTACATAATCCAAACACTGTCGTCCCACCACAACATCCTCTTCCTCAATCTTTCAAAATCTCATTCCCCCCACCCCACCCCAAGTCAGTCCACATCCACCATTCCACCTTCAATGGAAGAACCTTCAACAAAAAAGAAATCAAAGCAATAACCAGTGGCGACACTGCCACCACTCGACCAATTGAAGGATCCAGCATCAACTTCTCCCTCTTCTTTAAATTCATAATTTGTTAATTGTAGTTCTTTTAGACTTCCAAAGGCTTTGAACCAAACATTACCAGGTACAGTTGTGATGGAAAATAGTGAGGTGCTTGATGTAGACTTGAGTAAATCTGATTTTTTTAGATCTAATTGATCTTTTTCCTTTTAGGGAGTGAAATTGTGGAGCTTATGGTGGGTAGGAATAAGCGAGAGGTGGTGAGATGATGAAGGAGGTGATGGTTGATGACAAATAGATGATCATTGATGGAACAGTGGGTGGTGTTGTCTCTTCCTGAGTGCACATTCTGTGTTTGTCACGATGTATGTGTATGTGAGAACAAGTGATGTAGAGAGGAGCAAACCTCTATTTTTGTGTTGACCAGGTCCAGGATAGAAAAAGGACTGTGTGTCATGCCATCAATGGCACTGCCACTCTGAATGAAGTATTTATTTGGCTTAATACATACCTTTTCCCAAGCTTGTATGCAAATCTCTTAACACACTCCAATCTCACATGCAACCTTATACAAACAAACATTTTCTCACACGTATCTAAGACACACCACTTTTGTGTTTGACCACTTTTTCTGAACAAGTGTACGTCTCCTGTGTCATTAGCTTTTTTAAAAAGCACTAAAATTAAATGTATACCTCCATCTTCTTCATCTTCCCCTACCATGCTATCACCCCCATGACTGTACTACCATGTCAATTGATGCTTCATTCAAAATTTACCCATTCACAGAAAATTGAACAACAATCTCAAAAACGAATATTTGTTAATACACACATGCTTCAAAAAGAAACAATTAAATAATTTGGAAAGGTATGCCGTATGCCAGAGCCTGCAAGAGAATCGGGTTTGTAATACTACATCTAAAGAAATGGAAAAGTTGATCTAAAGAAACATCAAGTTTAGGCGATTATTCGTTTTATTTTTCATTTCAATTTATACCATCTATCTAATACTACAACACGCAAGACATTGATTGGGGATAATCAACTATGTCCATCAGAAAATGTATTTTCGACTTTCAAAAAGTTTAGTTAATTGGGAATCTAGGTGTTAGTCTCTACTCTCTGCTGTCGGTCAAAGTAGGTGGCCAGATTCTTGTTGAAGTTGAAGTTTTTAGGTAATTGTCATGGGTGATGCCAGTTGAAGCTATCGAAGGAATGGGTTTGGGTGGGGAAAATTGACAAGTTTTTGTTAGAAGAGATAGATAGGATGGAAAAAGAAAGATGATTGAAAAAATAAGAATATGACAAAGTTGGAGGGTTGGACATATGCACCCCTATAAGGCTTTAGACATATAAAATTTTGTACCCACCCCACCCCTCTCTCTGTCTCTTTCTATCTCTCCATCTCTCCTGTCTTTCCCTAAAAGTTATCTTGACTTAAGGAAAGCTTATCACTCCCTTTTCGTTTTTCTTCAACCTAAGACACCCATAATGGACTTCTAAGACGATCTTCAACCATGTTATAACCTGGACTTCTAGGACTTCTAACACTAGTCCTGAGATTTGTGAGTTATTCACCTGAGATTTACTGAAGCTGATCAGTTTTTTTTCAACTTCAGCTCAATTATATTATTGTTAAAACTCCTACTTAACAACTTGCATAGACGAAAAGTAAGGACTGAGGCTCTGCTGGTTTCAAAGATCTAGAAAGAAGGCTGTTGTGCTGGAGCTCAAAAGATTACAAATATGATTCAAACTTATTAAATCAAAATCCTGAAACCTAACTCCATGCCACAAAACAAGGGAGTGAGTTCTCGCGAAGATGCTAAGCCTAGAGATGAGTCTATTCCAAATTGTGAGTGTTCATTGATCAGGTGGATCTATATGCTTCGGGGTGGTGAGACGAGGTGTAACGCATTCAACTAGAAGAGCGACCCGTTGGTTCACAAAACCCTGTGAGAATATGGGTCAAATTCTACCAGATCAAACCTATGGGACTTAAGGAATGATATAAAAAAAAAAGAGGGAAAATATTCGTATTAAATAAATATGAAGTAGAAGAACCCAAATTCCAAATGAACAAATTCAAACTTGAAAAAGGATCTTCCTTATAATTGACCGAATTGAGAAGCAAAAATATTCTGATAAAGACGTTTCTCAGTAATATCATCATTGGCCTGATCTGACTCCCCACCAACCGCCCGTTTCTGAATCAACTGCATCATAAGCTGCTATAGCTCTTGCCGTCACACATTCTCCAGATTATATAAACAGAGTAAATAATCACATCACATGGATGTAAAAATCCAGATCTTAAGTAGGCAACCAATGAAATCTAGCTAATTGAAAGTGTAAAAATCGATTTAATAGATTATATAGATGATAATGAGAGTTGAGTGATGCATCGGTCACTGATGCATTGTTAATAAGTTGATGATGATCGGAAATACAAAAGAGTGAAGAGAAGAGAAGAGAACCTTGAGAGTACGAGTGGCAAATTCAACGCCGATAGTAGATTTAGACTCCAAACAGAACTCATTTCTAGTGAATCTGGAGAGCAAATTGGATTTGCCAACTCCAGAATCTCCGATTAACACAATCTTGAACAAGTAATCGTACTCTTCGTCTGCTCTCCTTGCCATTTCTCTTTCAACAAACACTTAGTCTACTCACAATCAACAATCCTGGATCTGTTAGCTCAATCACAAATATACGCTTGGACTTGTGTTGGACTTCTCTGGACCTCTGTTTTTCAAACTTGTGCTAGTAATTTCTATTTTGCTTTTGCTTTTTGCGGAACAAACGTCACAGTTACGGCACTCAATAGTCATGTGGGTTTACACATTTTCAAACAAATTCCAATTAATGAAATACTGTCTGAATTCAAAGGTAAATATAAAAAAGTATATCATGTACTATTGAAAATAGTTTAAATATATCTCTAGTTATACTTTCAGGTTAAATATATCCATCTCGTTATATTTTTGGTACATATTTATCCTTATAATAGAGGGACACATGTACAACTGGGATTAAAAGAAATCATCCAATTTAAACCATATCCAATTATAAGGTAATCCGCCCCCCCCGAATCAATTTTACCCAACTCAATTAATATCATCCGACCCAATTTTAAAATTCAATCATAAAAAACCTAAAGAATTTTATTTGTGCTTCTTTGGTTTAATTTATAAGGAACAAAATGTTTATCATCTCCACTTATGTTTACAAACTGAAAACATTTCTAAAAACTTTCCATGACAGTGCAGTCTCTATCTTGTCACTAAATAAAATATTTTCTATGACAATGGAAGAGCAATCAGCATAGATAGTAGCGGCTCTTTCCAAGAAGGTAAGAAGAGTAAGAGGACTTGAATTTGCTCCAGTGAAAGAGATGGAGTAAACCAAAAAAAAAAAACTTCTAATTTTGTTTGCAAAATGGATTATATTTACAGGTCCTCTCATTTTTTATCTTTAAGTTTAAATTGGGTCGGATAATATTAATTGGATCGGGGAAAATTATTTTGAGCAGGGCGGATCACCTTATAATTGGGTATGATTTAAATTGGATGGTTTCTTTTAATCCTAATCGTTCATGTGTCCCTCTGTTAGTCATAAGGGCAAATATGTGCCAAGAGTATAACGGGAGGGGTATATTTAACCCGAAAGTATAACTAAGGGTATATTTGAACTATTTCCAATAGTACAGGGGTATATTTGACCCTTTCCGATATAAAAATGACTTAAAATAAGTTATCAAGTGTTTGGTAAAATTAAATATAAATTAAAAATCAAAAGTAAGTCTCTCCTACTTTTTATTTTTACTTAAAATTATTTAAGTTTGATTTATTTATTTATTTTAGGTTGAATGGTCTGGTGGACCCTTATACTTATATGAGTTGTATTATGGACCCTTCTACTTGACCATTTGTCAATTGAACCCTTAAACTTAATGAAACTCAATATTTTAAGCCCTTTGACCATTGATCAAGCTTATGTGGCAACTTAATTGTTAAGTTGGCACAAACACGTGATTTCACGCGTTAAAGGAGCGTGAATATCAAATTTAAACTAAAATAATAATTATTTAAAAAAAAGACTAAAAATAAAAAAATTGAATATAATTTGTTTTTTTCACTTGTTTCTTCTTTTCCCACCCCACTCATTTCTTTTTCTCTTTCTAATTACATGTATCTTTTTCCCCATCCAAACTTCATTTCTCACTTTCTCCCCTTCCCAGCCTGTTCAATTTCTTTTTTCTCTTTTGTTTTTTTTTTTTTCATATTTTCTTTCTTTATAGAAAAACAAAAATGTGGTATGGTTGTAGATATGTGTTGTCTTTTCATTTTTCTTGTAATTTACAACCCATAAGGTGAGTAAGATTTGATAATCTTGATGGATGAAAAGAGATTGTTGGTTGTCTTTGTAAAATTAGGTGAATGTGTGATGTAAAATTGTGTATAAATATTATGATATATTGAGGTATTTTAATGATGATTCATTGATGCGGAGAAAAGGAATCTATGGTGGTTCAAAAGTTGGATGTAGACGTTGGTAAAAAAAAATAAGATTAAGAGTTGCGAATGATGAAAACTGAGAAAGAATCGAACTATGATTTTTAAGAACTTGAAGAGCTTCGTCACGGTTGTAGACAATAACGGCCTTAAGAAGAAAAAAATTAAGGAGATTGGAGATGGTGTTAATAGTGATTGTGGGTTAAGGGGGTGAAGGAAAGGTGAGAGAGATAACTATTTTATTTTATTTTTTTAAAATAGAAAAAAATTTATTAATTTTTTTCTTTTATCTTTTATGGAGTAACATTTTTAGTTAATAATTTTACTTGTATGAGTTTGTATTCTGGACCCTTCTACTAAATGTTAATTTTTTTTAATTAATTTTACCTGTATGTTAAAAATTAACATTTTTTTCTCCCTTACATAAATGACATGTCATATCCACATCAAATATATTAATGCCATGTCATTTATGTAAGGGAGAGTGAGCTACACACATGGTTGGAGGGGTTTAAATATCTTATTTTAATTGAGTTTGAGGGTTCACTTGACAAAGAGCTGAGTAGAAGGGTCCAGAATACAAACTCATACAAGTACAAGGGTCCATCAGATAATTTTGCCTTTTTTTTTTTACTTATAATCTATTTTTTATAAGACAATCAAAACGGGCTCTAAGTGAAATACTCTTTCCATTTCTATTTGTTTAGTTTATCACATTTTGATGACTTCACATGTAATCTATGGTAGTAGTGATTATTCAAAAAACCAATACGCTTAAATTTAATTTTAAAATATTCATTTTACTCTTAATAATATGATTTATAATCACATAATCATCTATGACTTATTTTAGACCACAATCTTCAAAAGTCTATTTTTCTTTCTTAAACTCAGTATCAAGTCAAACTAAGGTCTCATTTGCTTGAACTTAATGAAGGTCCGAATTTGAACCATTCAGATAATACTCATTAAGCGCATTTGTTTTTTTTTAGATTCTTACACTTATCGGGTCTTAAGACATCTGAATCGGTTAGATTTGAGATGGAGTCTGAAACTCATTCAGCGATCTTCGATAGATAATTAATGCATTAATTGCTCTATTGTACAATCCAATATGACGAATTGATTTTATTGTAATTATCCAAATAGAAAGTGGACTTCATACTTTCAAGATAAATTTATGTAGTATATTTTGTCTTATTTCAAGACATATTTATCTTTGTTTTTGCTTGTATTGTTATTGGAGGCTAATAAACTAATTAATGTTGTGGCCATAAAAATAAGTCCAATCTCTATATATTCAGTTATGTTATAAAATGAAGCATGTGTAGTAAAATACAAGGACAAGAAGAAAAGGAGAGAAAGAGAGACACAAAGTAGTAGTAGTAGCAGTAGTTTTTCTCTATTATTGAATGTTTTTCTCGCACTTACTCTTTCCTTATATTTTTTACTTTGTTACAAGAAGAGGGGTATATATAGTTGTATATACTTGGGCACCAAGTGTGATACATGGATATCTTCTTGTCATGTATATACTTTCGGCACCAAATATATCATATGGATGGTTAGGTTACAACACTTTGTTTGTTGCGTGTATATTCATCTTACATAAAGTGTATAGTGTGTACATAGATGTTACCACAAAATATATGTATGTGAACATCCATTTTACAACACTCCCCTTTGGATGTCCATGTCTTAATAAATAGTGTTCCTCGTTAAAACCTTACCAAGAAAAACCCAATGGGAAAAATTTTAGTGAAGGAAAAAGAGTACACATATCTTATAATACACATTAAGAGTTGCCTCATTAAAGACCTTACTAGAAAAATCCAATGGGAGAATATCTTGGTTAAGGAAAAAAGAGTGCAACACGTATTATACTCCCCCTAATTTAAGACATCACTTAACAACCCGAAGATGACATATTTCAATCTTATGTCTCGATTTCTCAAAGGTTGAAGTTGATAATGTCTTGGTGAATACGAGTGTTGAACATCTGCTACATCCTTCTTTTGAAGGTCATGAATAAAAAAGAACAACTTTGATGAAATATATTTTGCTCAGTCTTCTTTGATGTATCCTCCTCTTAGTTGAGCACACGAGACATTGTCTTCATATAATGTTGTTGGAATATCTCTTTTCGAAGGAAGGTCACGTATTCTCTGGATATGTTTATTGATCTCAACCAAATATATTTTTCAAAACACTCAATACATGATCTTGTCGACGTAGACAAATTGCTCGTTCGATTTGTTAGCAACAACAATCGAGCACTAACAAACACTTTCAGTAAAATTGATTGTCTTATGGAATGATTTGAAATGACAGTATTTCCAAATGAAAATATATAACTTTCATGAGTTCAAACTTCATAATTTCCTGCAATTTCATAATCAATAAATCTTGACACAATTGATTAGAATAAATAATTTATATCGATATTTGATTCACTCTAGTATCTCCACCGATAAGAGTGATGTTATATTTTGCATGCATGCTAATAAAAGTATTTACCATGAATAATAATAGCATGATACAAAAGTGCACCAATTTCACCATGACATGGTACTTTCTAACCATTTTAATGAGATCAAAATTTATCTTTATAATATGCGATCTTACAACCATTGAGATACTATTCAACGGAATCACTTTATAACCTTCTAAACCCTTCAAGGATTTTCATATAATATTTACTGTCTAACTAGACATGAGAATCATTTATCATGCGTATTCAAGTTTTTCATATATTGCCAGACTGAAAGGAACCTTATTGCATCCACCTTAGGAGTATACATCTCCATACAATAATGTCAGGACTTTTGTGAAAAATCTTTATTTTCTAATGCACAAGCATTACTTCATATTTTACGATTTCACTTATTGCACAATAATTCATTTGTACCCCACTGACATTATATCTTGGATATGGACAAAATAAGTCCAAAACATCACTTTTCCAAGTGAATAAAAATATACTTGAATTGTATTTTCTTTTGGCCAATCATTTACCTGTCAACTCTCGACAAATTTAATATCAAGATCCTCATCATCATTTATAATTTTGAGCGCTATATTATATTCAATATATCGTCGATAGTTATTTGATATTGATTCTAATGTGACATAACTTATCAAACTCGCTTTATTTTTCATCATTTTCAGGTACTTGAACCTTTGCCAAGGTTTTTATAAAGTGTTATGTCATAGTGCTTTTTCTAAAGCACTTGCCTCATTATTATGACCATCTTAATCATTTGCTCTTTTTCTTCTTCAAGAAGTTTTATCTTTCGAATCGATTAATTTATCACGCT